GGGAAAGAGGAGGGATGGCTAAGAGGAGGGATGGCCTAGTCGATCTCCCATCTCACTGGCCAGGAGTCCTTTATACATACACATCCCACTTGGAAGACAGAGAGAAAGACAAGCAGATAGAGACAGACAGACACAGACACACACACACACACACACACACGCACATGCACACCCCTGCCCCATCCCTTCAGGGGCTGACCCAACAAGTTTAGATTGGGTAGACTGGGGCTGGGGTATTTTCAGTTTTAAAATGCTTGCCAAGGGTGTATAATTCAGGAGGAGAATCACTGGGCAGAAGGAAGCTTTGCCTACGGGTCCACGTCTTAACTAGAGGCACACCTCGTTTTACTACGCTTCATAGATATGGCATTTTTTACAAACCGAAGGTTTGTGGCAATCGGGTGTCAAGCAAGTCTATTGACACCATTTTCCCAAGAGCATTCATTATTTTTCAGTTAATTTAAAATTGTATTTTTAATGATAATTTAAGTGTACACTGCTTTTTTCAGACATAATGCTATTGTATACTCGGCGGACTACAGTACAGTGTAAACATAACTTTCATGTGCACTCTGGGAAATCAAAATATCCACGTGACTTGCTTTATTGTAACATTTGCTTCACTCTGGTGGTCTGGAACCCAACGGCAGGCTCTCCGAGCTATGGCTGCATACGCAGAGGTGTGGATCGTGGGCACACTTAGCAACCTTTATCCCGCCCGCCTGGTCTTACAGGGTCCCTACTCCTAAGGGAAGAAGGCAGGCGTGGTCTCAGGAGGTCTGCTGTGCGGTGTCTGCAGAGGCGGGGGGGCGGAGGGTGGGGGTGACTGCAGGGGTGAAGGCCTGGGTGTGCGATCGCCCCTCTCGCTGGCTCTCCCATCCGGAAGAACTCTGTAGAGACCTTCACCTTCACTCCGAAGAGGAAGCGTGTCAGCAGACGAAGGACAGGCGTGGGTGGTGCTGCCTCTGAGTGGCTTTGTTTCAACCTCACACCCTATCTCACTGGCCTCACTGGAGGGGGCAGATGGCAAGGCAGGCGCTCAATCCTCCTCTGCAAGATGCTCTCCTTGGTCATTTCCCAACAAAGGCTGTCACCACGGCCCCATCCGGAAGTCACGTAGTCCAACCACAGCCTCATCATCTCCTCCAATCCAGAGGGCCTGGCAGGTAAGGGGCCAAATCCAAATATTCAAAGCCGACTATTCCACCACTGAGGGAGAATGGGAATCGTGGACTGAAAATTAGCCTCTAGCGTGGATGGCGCAAGGAGGCTGCATCGGACTCTACCCTGCGCCTTAGAACATCTTAATTCTTGGGTCCTCATTCTGAGATCATAGGGCACGAGGCTGTACAGGTATCCATGAAAACACCTCTCTCAACAGTGGAAAAGCACGCTCTAGAAGATGCCGGCCTCAAGCACCCGCAGTTTGCCTGCGTTTCATCAAAGCCAGGTCATCAGACACCTGCTTCACGGCTGAGAAAACTCTCTGTACCCGTCCCCACGTGAGGCCACCGTCCTGGCCTCCACGTGAGACCCTCGGAGGAAAGGGGGCAGCAGGA